CCTGGAGATGTACATTTCCTAATTCCTATTGGATGTATTGGATGTGTTGTCTTTACATTTTCTGGTTTTTGGAAATTGCAGTTGCGATATCTTGGTGTTAAAATGGGTTGGTAAGTTACATCATTATTGTAATGTTATTGGAATAACATAGCGTAAATTTTCTTGTAGGGACTGCATTCGTGCAACCAAAATGGTGAGTAAATCCATAAAGGATGCTTATTTGATTTCCTGTTGTATTCATAACAGCAGGTTGCCGTTGGAGTTTTGAGAAACACTCCTTACAGCACATGACAGTTACAGTAATTTAATTCAAAAATTTTAAAATATATCCCGTAGTTATTTTTCACGGGATAGCAGTCCTTCAAATTGGATAGGATTTGAAGGGAGAAAGGAGAAGCTTTAGATGACAGAGTCAGACCCCAAGGAGTCGGTGTTCAGTTGAGAAGCAGGCAGCTCCAAGTCTCCCAGGGACCAGGCCAGGTGCTGTCCTTGTCCTTGCCACCAGGGTGGCTGCCCTGACCAATGCCTCCAGATTTCATGCTCCACTTACTCACAACAGCTTCTCACTGCCTCCTGCGTGTGCGTGTGCCTTCTTATCGTCTATTCTCCAACAGCAGGCAGGTCAGGTCACTTCTCTGTTTGCCCTTGCAGGCTGTCCCATCCCACTCATACAGTCCAACATCCTTTTTGTGGCCCCCAGGGTCCTGCCTGATCTGGCTACCCATGCCCTATCTGTTCAGATTTCCTGTCCTCAGCCTTCCTGTCACACTATCTTGCCGCTTTCTGTTTTTCTGACCTACCGACTGTGCGTCTGCCTCATGTCCTCTGGCTTGCTCGTCCATATTTTGCCCTGTGGGCAGTCCTGGTTCCTGCCTCTGTCATGTCTGCTCCGATGTCATCTCATCTCAGATGCCAGCTCTGACCAGTCTGCTTAAAAAGTCCAGCCCCCTCCTCTGTCTTGTTTTCTGACTCATCATTAATTGCCAGCTGATATAATAATGGATTCTGTTTTGTTCACTTCTTTATGGCCTCTCTCCCCATTACTGTGTAAGGTTCAGAGATCCAGGGTGTAACTATTTTCTTTATTGCTGGTTCCAGGTGCCTCTGAGAGACTTAATGCATAGGGTATGTTCATTCACTCCTTGTTTGGTGAAGGAGGGGATGGATGGATGGATGGACGGACAGATGGACGGACGGACGGATTGGTGTACCATTTCAATGGTAGGGACAATGCTCCCTCACAGCTTATCCTAACCAGTGGTCTCTGTGTTGCCATTGTGAACTCTGCTGTATCCATTTACCTGGGAACATCGTCCCTGCCAGCCTCTTTTCTACTCCTTTCCTTCATTGTCCCTTTATTCACTCCCTCCTTCCTACATTTGTCTTAACTGTGTACATCCCTCAGGTAAACCCAGCCTAAAATACAGCCATTGTAGTCATCTCTATGGGATATAAGTACCAAAAATCAAGAAGTGTATCAGATAAAAACCTCAGGAAAATCTAGATATGAGGGTCTGCCTGTTGTGAATAGTGGGGTTAGCTTTCTCTGTTGTTTTGTAATTGCTGTTCTGGTGTCTTCATGCTACAGGAAGGTTCTGTGGAAAACTTTCAGGAAGGCTGGATGCCAGCTCCATTTGATTGGCTCTTTTTTTTTTTTTTTTTGTGCAGACTTACCTTTCCTTGGGAATTATGAACCCAGTTCCAACTGGTGTCTGTTTTTTCTTACCAGAAGCTTTCCAAGTGCTTTGTGTTTTTCCTTTTTTTTTTTTTATCCTCACCCGAGGACATTTTTTCATTGCTTTTAGAGTGGGAAACATTGATGACAGAGAGAAGCATCAATTAGTGGCCTCCCATGCATATCCGGGCCATGAATCGAGGATTGAACCCTCAACCTTGGTATGTGTTCTGACTGGGAATCAATCCCACAACCTGTCCGTTTCAGGATGTGATTCCAACCAACTGAGCGACCCAGCCTGAGCATGTTGGGTGTTTTTCTTGTTGTTTTTCTTTAAGAAAAGGAAATTGTGTTGTTATTTTGTTGTTATTTATTTATTGGTTGATTTGAGAAGGAGAGAGACATTAAGACAATGCTGTTTTTTTCCTTATGTATGAATTCACTGGTTGATTGTTGTGTGTGCCCTCAGTGGGCATTGAACCCTCTACCTTCACTCTGGGACAACACTCTACCTACTGAATTCCCTGGTCATGGGTGTTCTGTGTTTTTTAATAAGTTTTTTGTTTTGCAATTTAGGGCCAGGTTATTATTGAAATATATACAAAAAACTGCAGTACACATTCATGAATTTTCAGGGAGTAAAATGACTTTATATTTCAGTTCTTTTTATTCAGGTAACATTTACAGGCACACATCGCTAGTATGCCATTTGATGAGTCATGACTACATGTCTCTTCCTGAAAGTTCTTTTGGCAACATCTGAACAGCCCCAGCTTTTGTGTGTTTTATCTTCTTGCCTTGCTCCACTTGTCATGAATATCCTTGCGGCCTTGTTACACTGCACAGAAGCTCACAGTACAGGGTTTCTTCTCCGTCCAGGAGTCTTGTAAACAACTCATCAAGAGAATGGGCCTAGGTGGGTCTCACTGTCTTCACTCCTTCTGGAAATAGGCCACAAGTGGAGAAAAAAGCCAGTGTCACTGAAGAATTATTTGAGAACCTTGGTAGCCATCTGATGAACGTCTGCCCTAGTTATAATTTTTATGGTACTTTCAGCAGCTGTCTCTACCTGTGTAACAAACTACTCTTTACCTTAGCAGCTTACAAGAACAAGCATGTATTCATAATTCTTTCAGTCAGAAATCTGGAGGCAGCTTCGCTGGGTGATTGTGTGTCACGATCTCATCAAGTTGATGTTAAGGAGTGCCCGAGAGCTCCATGTCTTTGCAGGGTTAATGGCACTGAAGTATTGGCTTCCAGGATGGACTCATTCACATGGGTGTTGGCAGAAGGCCTCAGTTCCTTGCCAGTGGGACTGTCCCATGGGCTTCATGGCTGTCCCCAAAGAATGGCATGGCAGGTGGTTTCTTCCACCCAAGATAGTGGAAGGCAGAAGCCACAATGTCTTATGGGATAACCTTGGAGGTGATGTATTTTCACTTCTTAAAATTTTAAAAATCTTTTCAGGAGCATACGTTTATTAATTTTAGGGAGAGAGAGAGAAACATCACTGTGTTGCCTCCAGTATGTGCCTGGAGTGAGGATTGAACCCACAGCATCTCGGTGTATGGGATGATGCTGCAACCAACTGAGCCACCTGGCAATGGCACTTTGCCATATTCTGCTGGCTTCACAGAGTAATCTTGACACATTGCAGGAAGGTGGTTGATACCATATGGACATCAGCCGGCAGGATCATTGGACACTGTTCTGTATGCTGGTTACCATGGCATAGTTTTATGTGTAGAAATGTATATCTAGTGTGCAAAACCTGGAAGATGTTGTCAGTCATTGGTCATCATCCAAACATTTAGCCAAATTAAATGACAGCATTTACCATGGGACATTTTACTGCCATGAGATTTGTGAGTCACGGGTATGAGTTTTCTAGTTTGTTCTATTTAGAATGTTCACCATTTTGCTGAGAAAGTCACCTGCTTTGTAGTCGTGTATTTCTATTTTTGACCTAATTATAAGTCTTTCTATAGTTCCAAACTTAACACTGAGTTGACAGGAGCCTACTCATCTCCTCTGTGTTTCGTTAGGCATGAGAAAGCCTATGGTGAAAGCCAAGCTGATTGAATCAGGTCTTCCAATGTGGTTGACCTCTGAAATATTTTTTATGTGTGAGAAGACATTTGCTCATCCTACTTGTCATGTTTGTATTCTTATCTTTCCAGGACACTGGAACCAAAATGACATAGAGACTCTTCACAAAGTTCAATTAAGGTACCTTTTACTGGAAAACATTTTGTGCTGGCAAGTATGGAACCAACTTCTGAGTAAGTTAACCAGAAAGCAAAACTTGATAATAAACCTGCGAAGCAAAGTTTTGGATTTGCCAAACCAAGGTGATATCTCCTGTCAGTTGTGTCCAGGAGAATCTATAAGAAAAGAAGAGTTTCCCATGAAGACCATCCACAATTGCCAGAAGAAAGTGTATCTGAGAGAGTCACAGAATGATCAGAGTAGGTGGCAGGAGGGTGACGGCAGATGTAAAGTGTGTGAGTGTGAGCATTGTGTCAGGAGAAGGACCTCTGGTCTCCACAGTGATGATCAGGAAGTGCAGGAACGTGAGACATTTTATAGCCACAATAATTGTGGGAAAGACTTCGTGAAGGAATCATTGCAGTATACTGTAATCCACTCAGAAGAGCACACCTCTACCGAAAATGGAAAAGGCATCAGCCTAAGCCCCAGACTTGAGCTCCATCAGCAATTGCACCTGGGAGCAGAAACTCATATACATCATGAGTTTGGGGAGGGTGAGAGTTATAGCTCAGAGCTTTGCACTGCTCAAAGTGTTCACACAGAAGAGAAATGCAAAAGGAGTGATGAGTGTGGTGAGCACGTCAGTCAAGGTTCACATCAGCAAATTCATCAACGAGTCCACACTGGAGAGAAACCCTACAAGTGTGTTGTGTGTGGGAAAAACTTCAGTCAGAGTTCACAGCTTCAAGTTCACCAGCGAGCGCACACTGCAGAGAAGCCCTACAAATGTGCTTTTTGTGGCAGGAGATTCAGTCGGAGTTCATATCTTCTAGATCATCAGCGAATTCACACTGGAGGGAATCCGTGCAAATGTGCTGTGTGTGGGAAGTGCTTCATTTATGCCTCCAGTCTTCACACCCATCAGCGAGTCCGTGCGGGACAGAAACGCTACAAATGTGCTGTGTGTGGAAAGGACTTCAGTTGTAGTTCATTTCTTCAAGATTATCAGCAGGTTCACACTGGACAGAAACTTTACAAATGTGCTGATTGTTGCAGCAGTTTCAGTTGGATGTGTAGTCTTCAAGCTTATCAGCGAATCCACACTGGAGAGAAGATCAACAAATGTGCTGAGTGTGGGAAGAGCTTCAGTCGGAATTCAAACCTTAAAGTTCACCAGCGAGTCCACACCGGAGAAAAACCCTACAAATGTGCTGTTTGTGGGAAGAGCTTCAGTCAGAATTCTAGTCTTCAGTCTCATCAGCGAGTGCACACTGGAGAGAAACCCTACAAATGTGCTGTGTGTGGGAAGAACTTCAAACGTAATTCATACCTTCAAGTTCATCAGCGAAACCACACTGTAGAGAAACCCTGCAAATGTACTGTGTGTGGGAAGACCTTCAGTCAGAACTCTAGTCTTCAAGCTCATCAGCGAGTACACACTGGAGAGAAACCCTACAAATGTACAGTGTGTCAGAAGAGCTTTAGTCGGACTTCATACCTTCAAGTTCATCAGCAAAAGCACACTAGAGAGAAACGCTTCAAATGTGCTGTGTGTGAGAAGAGCTTCAGTCATTCCTCCAAACTTCAATATCATCAGCGACTCCACAGTGAAGAGAAAATCAACAAATGTGCTGAGTGTGGGAAGAGCTTCACTTACTACTCTACTCTTCAAGTTCATATGCGAGTTCACAGTGGAGAGAAACCTTACAAATGTGCTGCATGTGGGAACAGTTTCAGTCAGAGTTCATATCTTCAAGTTCATCAACGAGTTCACACTGGAGAGAAACCCTACAAATGTGCTGTGTGTGGGAAGAGCTTCAGTCATACCTCCAGTCTTCATGCTCATCAGAGAGTCCACACTGGAGAGAAACCCTACAAATGTGATGTGTGTGGGAAGAGCTTCAGTAGGCGCTCATGTCTTAAAGATCATCACCGAATCCACACTGGAGAGAAATCCTACAAATGTGTTGTGTGTGGTAAGAACTTCAGTAGGCGTTCATATCTTAAAATTCATCACCGAGTCCACACTGGAGAGAAACCCTACATATGTGCTGTGTGTGGAAAGAGCTTCAGTCATACCTCCAGTCTTCATGCTCATCAGCGTGTTCACAGTGGAGAGAAACCCTACAACTGTGCTCTGTGTGGGAAAAGCTTCAGTCAGAGCTCTGGACTTCAAGTTCATCAGCGAGTCCATACTGCAGAGAAACCCTACAAATGTGCTGTGTGTGGTAAGAGTTTCCGTTACAACTCCGGACTTCAAGTTCATCAACGAGTTCACACTGGAGAGAAACCCTACAAATATGCTGTGTGGGAAGAGCTTCAGTCGAAGTTCACATCTTAATGTTCATCAGCAAGTCCACACTGGAAGGAAGCACTACAAATGGGCTGTGTGTGGTAAGAGCTTCAGTTGGACCTTAGGAATTCAAGCTTATCAGGAGATCCACATATAGATATGCGATAAGTGTAGCAAATCTGGTAAAGGCTTTACCCAGGTTTCAAGTCTTCCCAGTGATCATAGCATCCATACTGGGCAGAAAGTCTACACGTTTCATTTCCCATGAGGGCTTTAGTGAGAATTTATAGCTGCAGGTGGATGAGAGAATACATAATGCTGGTAAGCACATCATTCCTGATGGGTGTGTGGTATAAGTGTTCTTCAGAGCTTAGACTTCTGACTTTCATTAGAGAACCTACACAGATGAGATGGTTTATACAGTGTTGTGTGTTAAGAATTCAGCATAAGCTTAGTTTTCTACAGTCATGTGAATTCCATTGGAAAAAACCTCCGTCTTACACCAATGTGGTCAGTGTTCCAGCTGACTTGAAAATGTTACAAAATTCAGAAAACGCACAACAGAGAAACTCTATGAGAACAATACTATGAGTTTGTCAGAACCTTCACACTTTCTAAAGTCTATGGAAGAGAGACTTAAAAGTGAAGACCCCTAGGACCTTAGCAAAGGTAGATTGATGGATTTGACAAAATTGACATTCAGGAGAATGTCAGCTTCCTGGAAGCAGGGAGTTTGTCCACTGCTGCTAGCCCATGACAGCAAACCAGTGCCTGAGTAATAGTAAGTGCCTGGAAATGTCTCACATGAGGGAGAGAAAAAGCTGTGAAAAATAGGGTAACTAGACAAAAATTCTCATGAGTCCAACCTCAACTAGTAATAATAAATTGTAGTAGAAAAATGATTTTTGTAAGAAACTTAAAACTTAATTCAAGGAGCCCTGGCTGGTTTGGCTCAGTGGATTTAGCACCACCCTGCACAGGAAAGTGATTCCCAGTGTAGAACACATGCCTGTGTTGTGGGCAAGGTTTACAGTGAGGGGTGTGTGAGAGACAACCACACATGGATATTTGTCTCCCTCTCATTCTCCCTCCCTTTCCCTCTGAAAAATAACTAAAACATTAGGGAAAATACAGCTTTTATTTCATTTTTAGAGAAGGGAAGGGAGGGAGAAAGAGAGGGAGAGAAACAGATTGGTTTTCTCCCTCATGTAGCCCAATTAGGGAACGAACCCATAACTGGCCATCTTTCCATCTGAGGACAACACCCAACCAATTGAACCATATCTGTCAGGGCAAGGGAAAGGGACTTTTAAAAATGTAGCTTTGTGTTTTGTTCCTTTTCTCCTGGATGCATGATAAGAAATTGATATAAATGTTTATATGCTCACAACTTCATAAACACTGGAGGGATCCCCAACAGGGAAAGCTGCAATGGAGAGTGTCAGAGCCGCAGCTCCCTGGGATCGTGCTTCCAGTGAGGAAAATACTTAAACTCCGAGTTTTAGGAACAGGAGATGTCTATATAACTGATGATTTTTGCTGATTCTCTGTGAATAAACAGAGGCAACATAAATACAGAATCCATCTAGAAATGGAGATACACTTTTAGAGATTTTATTTTATTTTTAGACAGGGAGTGGGGAGAAAGAGAGTGAGAGAAACATCAGTATGTTATTGCCTCTCATGCACCCCCAGTTGGGGACCTGGCCCACAACCCACGCTTGTGCCCTGAATGGGAATTGAACAGCTGGTCTTTTCAGTTGCCAGGCCAACATTCAGTCCACTGAGGCACGCCATCTAGGGTCACTTTTGGAATTTTCAAAAGCAGTTTTTAGTTGCTACTGAACTCTTGGGAAAATAGGTGACTGACTTTGAGCCATTTGTGTTTGTCTAGCATGTTTTTCCTCAAAATTTTATTTGTAGTTAACAGTTGACAATATTGTGTTAGTTTCAGGTGTACAGCATAGTGATTGGACATGTATATAGCTTTTGAAGTGATCCCCTTGTACATCCCGTGTGCGCCTGGCACCATGCATAGTTAGTGCCACATTACTGACTATATTCCCTGTGCTGCACTTTACATCCAGGTGACTGTTTTGTGAGTTTGGACCGGGATCACAGCTGTCTGGCAGGTTGCAGCTGTTTTTTAAATTCTAGCATCACAGATCCTAGTGTCCTGAATCTGTTTTTAAGCTGATCCCAGATTCTGCCTGAGCTGTTTCAGTCCCCACTCATGCTGTGCTGAATTGCAATGGGGTCAGATGCTTCCCTGAAGAAACTGGTTGAGACAGTGTCAGTACTGCGGATTTAGCTCCTACTTGTGGGTGCATATTTGGAGGAAATGAAAACATGTTACCAAAGAGCTATCTACACCCTCATGTTCACTGGAGCCAAGAAATGGAAACGATGTGAAAGTGTATCCTGGATCAAGATGAAGTTCATATATATATATATATATAATGGGACGGTATTCAGCCCCGAGAAAGAAGGAAATTCTGCCATTTGCAACAACATGCTACTGGCGTTATGCTAAGTGAGATAAGACAGAGACAAATACCGAATGATATGTGTTTATGTGGAATTTTTTTAAAAAGGCATAAAAAGAGAGTAATGGTGGTGACCAGGAAGTGGGGAAATGGGAGAGAGATTTAAGGGCACAAACTTGTGACTACTAGATAATTAAGTCCTGGAGACCTACTGCATGGTATTGTGATTATACACAACCAAACTTGAGAAACATTAAGTTTCCTCAGAGGCTAGACCTTAATTATTGCAATGCGTGAAGAAACTTTGGGATGAGACAGCAATACTAGCTAAGTCTCTAATGCCAATCACATTGTAAGAAATGTATCAAATCAATAAGCTGTACCCCTTGAACAAAATGTCCTATGGCAAATAAACCTGCAAGAAGATTAATGGAAAAATAACCCATCATGGATGCAGCTGGGTTCAGTGGGTGCCCTGGAAGCACCCCATAAAAGGGCTTATTGTCTGGTGGCATCATCTGAACCTGAGCTGGTGGACACTGTAAACACACACACTGTCGAATTTCTAACTTGGGAGCCCTGTCTGTGGGATCAAACACACTTGGACCTTGATAAGGGGAGACTGCATTCAAAAAGACTTGTGTTAGGGAGGATGCTCCCATTTGAGAATCTGCAAGTGCCTCCCATTGAACCAGAAATTGCTTTTCTTCATAAGGCAGGACAGGAAGAGCTAGGAGGGAATGTGTGGGAGAGAAGGCGGGGAGGGGGAGGCGGCCAAGCAGGGCTTCAGCAGGAAATGTCTGCTGTCTGCAGTGTCATGCCAGGAATGTCCTGCAGGTGCCTGAGAACAGTAGGTAAGGTCAGAGGCCCAGAAGAAGTGCTCAGAAAGTGAAACTACTGCTTCCCAAGTCCCCTGACCTGGGAACCTCCATTGTCACATAGACCACACCACACCTGTCCAGTGGTGGGTTTGTTCATTCTTCCAGTCGTGCATTCTGCCCTTCATGGGTTTGAGGGACTCGCCATAGGAAGGGAGTAAGAATTCATCACCTCTAAGGCCACAAAGAAGTTTAATGAATAATATCCAAGGAGAATGACTGAAGACTTCTTGGAGGCAACAACTCAGGAGGGTTTGGAAGTACGGGTGAAAGTTCTCTAGGAAAATAAAGGGATGATCCTGGATGGTGTGGCTAGGTGGGTTGAACAGTGACTAGTGAACTGAAAGGTTACCAGTTCAATTCCTAGTCAGGGCACATCTCTGTGTTGGGATCTGGGTACCTGGCCAAGAGCATGTCATACGCAGCTAACTGATGTTTCTCTCAAATATCGATATTTCTCTCCCTCTTCCTCCCTCCCCACTTGTCTGAAAATAAATAAAATCTGTGTTAAAGAAAAAAAGGGAAATTGGGCCTTCCAGGTGTGACAGTATTCTGAAATAAAATGGTGTAGCAGAAGGATCTTGCTGAATGTCATGGACAAAACTGAGCCATGTGTAGCATACCCTTACCTGGTTGGTGAATTTTGTTCCACTGAACAGCTGGAATGGGCACAACTCTGGAAGTACCAGGTGTTACTGAGCAGAAGGCACTTGATCCATTTTGTTCAAGTTGTCAAGTTTCTTGGCATGTAATTGTTGGTAATGTTTTCTCACAGACCTTTGTGTTTCTGTAGTGTCAGTTGTTACTTCTCTTGTTTTATTTCTGATTTTATTTACTTGGGTCCTTTCTCTTCTTTTCTTAATGAGCCTGGTTAAAGGTTTGTCATTGTTTATCTTATCAAAGAACCAACTCTTGGATTCAGTGATTTTTGTTTTTGGTATTTGTATTTTTTTAAAGATTTTATTTATTTATTTTTAGAGAGGGAAGGGAGGGAAAAAGAGAGAGAAACATCAATGTGCGGTTGCTGGGGGCCGTGGCCTGCAACCCAGGCATGTGCACGGACTGGGAATCGAACCTGCGACACTTTGGTTCGCAGCCCGTGCTCAATCCACTGAGCTACGCCAGCCAGGGCGGTATTTGTAGTTTTAAGATCCTATTTCGTTTATTTCTGCTCTGATCTTTATTTCGTTTCTTCTACTCACTTTTGCCCTTGTTGTTTTCCAAGATCTTTTAAATAAAATTAGACTGTTCATTTCAGCTTTTTCCTCCTCAGATAAGCCTGTAATGCTGTGAATTTCCCAGTTAGCATTGCTTTTCCAGTGTCCCACAGACTTTGGATTGTTGTGTCCTCCTTTTCATTTGTTTCAAAGCATATCTTGATTCCTTGATCTTGTTGACCCATTCATTGTTTCATAACATGTTATTTAGCTTCCATGTCTTTGTATGTTTTTCAGTGGTGTTCTTGTGATTGATTTCTAATTTCATAACATTGTGGTCTGAGAAGATGTTTGATACAATTTCAAGCTATTAAATTTATTGAGACTTGTGTCCTCGCATGTGGTTTATTATTGAAGACATGCCATGTCCATTTGAGAAGTGTGGATATTCTGCCTTGTGCTGAAATGCTCTAAAGATACCAATGAAATCGATCTGATCTAGTGTGTCATTTAATGCCACTGTGTCTTTGTTGATTTTCTGCCTGGAAGATGTACCCATTGAAGTCATTGGGGTGTTAACTTCCCCAACTCTGTATTTCTGTCGATCTCTCCTTTTATGTCCATCAAGATTTCTCTTGATGGTCCTGAGACCATCATTTAGATGCTTCTGAGTTTGGTGCGTAAATGTAAATGTTTCCTAGGATTATATTGTCTTGTTGGATTGTTTCCTTTATCATATTGTAGTGTCTTTGTTTGTCTCTTGTATAGGCTTGGTTTTAAAGTCTATTTTGTAAGATAGAAGTCCTGCTACCTGAGCTTTTTTCTTTTCCATTTGCATGTAACGTCTTATTCCATCCCTGTACTTTTAGTCTGTGTGTACCTTTCAATCTGAGATGGGTCTCTTTGAGTCAGCCTATATATGGGTCTTGTTTTCTTATCCAGTCAGCTACCCGAGGTCTTGTGGATGGAGCATTTAAGTCATTTATGTTTAAGGTGATTATTGATAAATAGTATTTAGGGCCATTTTACTGTCAGACTGTTTTCTTCTTTTTTTTTGCTTGTTCTTTTTTATTTTTTCTTAAAGCAAGCAATACTGGTTTGGCGTTAACAAACTCCCTTAGGTTTTCTTGTCTGGAAAGCTCCTTATTTCTGCTTCAACTTTATTTTGTTATCAGAGAGACTGTGGTGTTATTTAGTGTTAAATAGGTAGTGTTATTTATTTTACTTTTTAGAGAGATGAGAAGGGCGTGAGAAAGAGAGAGAGAAACATCAATGTGTGAGCCATATATTGATTGATTGCCTTTCCCAGGTCCGCAACTGGAGAGCCTCCCCAAACCCAAGTATGTGCCTTGACTGAGAATTGAATCACCGACCTTCATGCTCCTAGACCAGTGCTGAATCCACTGTGACACACTAACCAGGACTCTTCTTTCAGTTTAAATGATAGATTTGCTGGCTAAAGGAGCCTTGATTGTAGGTCCTTGATTTCATCATCTTGAATATTTCATGCCACTCCCTTCTGGCCTGAAATGTTTCTCATGAGTCATCAGATGACAGTCTAATCTGTGCTCCCTCATAGGTAAGTTCCTGCTTTTCTCTTGTGGATTTTAGGATTCTCTTCGAGCCTTGTCATTTTAATTATCATATGTCTTGGTGTAGACCTCTTTGGGTCCAACTTGTTTGGGACTCTGAGCTTCCTGGACTTGTCTTTTTCCTTCACCAGATTAGGGATGTGTTGGGTCATTATTTCTTCAAATAGGTTCTTGATTCCTTGCTCGCTCTCTTCTCCTTCTGGTGTTCCCATCATGCAGATGTTGCGAAACTTCATGTTATCCAAAGTGTTTCTTAAACTCTGAGTTTTCAAATTTTTTTTTCTTTTTGCTGCTGTGCCTTAGCGTTTTTTCCTACCTTGTTTACCAAATTACAGATTTTATCCTCTGCTTCATGTAAACTACTTTTTATTCTGGTATATTTTTTATTTCAGATATTGCATTCTCTATTCCTGACTTGTCCAGTTTTATGGTTTCCAAGTCTTTTGTCATAATGTTAGGTATACTCACAGTCATTATTCTAAACTCTGTCTGATAAATTGCTTGCCTCCATTTTATTTTGTTCCTTTTTTAAAAGGATTTTCTTTATTTTGAGAGAGAGAGAGGGATGGAGAAAAAGAGGAAGGGAAACATCAGTGTGTGGTTACCTGTGACACACCTCCTACTGAGGATCTGGTCCACAACCCAGGAATGTGCTGTAACTGGGAATCCAACCAGCGATCTTTTGGTTCACAGGCTGGCACTCAATCCACTGAGCCACACCAGCCAGGGCACCACAAATCTTACTTATGTTCTTCCTAGTCTTCCCCAACTCCTTACTGAATCTTTATTCTTAGGAATTAGACATTGGACTCCCAATGTAATTCACACATTTACTGGTGATTCTGGCCATGGACCCACCTATAACTTCGTAGTCCTGGTTTACAAGGAAGGATAGAATTGGACAACTAATACCAGAGGTGATTTTGAATGGCATAGTTTCCCCAACATAACTTTCCCCATTTTCAGGGCATTGACCCTTTATACCAAATAAACTATCCTACTGTTACCAAAAAGAAAAGTATCTGATAGAAAAACCCAAAGATGGGCATATCCAGATAAGGACATCATAGTTAACAATTCAGTGCAGACACCAGTACTGGGAATGGGAAGAAGTGGTTCCTTGTGAAGTGTAGATGGGGAAGGAGTGCTGGTCTGTGCATCCAGCTACTGCCATTGCTCAGCCCCACAGCTCGTCACCAACTGTGATCCTCTCATTCTCTTTTGTACTTTTAGAGGGAGTTTGGCACAGCTCTCAGACCATCCCAGCATCCCTCCATTGCTTCTTGAGACTCCCAAAGCATTTTGGGATAAACTAATGTTAAAGAGAGCAAAGTAGAAGATTGGTTACAAAGCACTGCAGAGTACTGATTAAAATGCAGACTTTGGAATTTGACTCTCTTTGTTCACCCCAGCCATTGGCTAGTTGAGTAACCATAGACAAGATGCTTAACCTCTCTGTTCCTGAATCTGCTTGTGTCTTCAGTGGATGATAAAACTGTCTCTTTGTGTTGTGAGGGTCTTACCATATGCCTGGCATATGGTAAGAGCGGTACAGAGACAACTATTAATTCCAGCATAGATGTAATTATTACTATATTTACAGTCAGGGCACCTGCTTGTTCTGCAGGTCAGGTTCCCAGCATGGGGTGTGTGAGAGGCAACCACACATTGATGTCTGTCCCTCTCTTCCTCACTTCCCCTCTCCCTAAAAATAAAAAAGTAAATATTTAAATAACGGGGAATGCTAACTCAGAAATCAGCTCGCCCAATGTGGATTGTATCCTTTTCATCGTATGTCCTGACAGCTAAGCTTTCACAGTTTTAAAGAGTTACAAGAAAAAAACAAATACGCCATAGAGACTGTATGTGGACTGGTATAAGCAAACCAGTATCTCAAATGCCCATGCTTCTCTGATTATACATGATAATACAGTAAGTGTTGCCTCAACTTCGTACTTCTAAAATCTTAGGGCTTAAACTTTTACCATTTTAAACATTAGGACTTTTAAAAGTCAACCAAATGCATATTTTTCTCCCAAGTGGATCTAGAATATTATATACTGTAGACGATGTATTAGGCCACAGGTCATATCTTAAAAAATTTTAAAAAGTCACGCAAAATATATTAAAAAATCAGGCAAAATATACAAAATATATGAAGAAATTATACAAACTGTATAAAGTATTCTCTGAACTGAATGGAATGAAACTGTCATCAATAAGATAGAAAGATAAACATCAAAGGTTGTACACAGGTTTTCGACTTGCATCCAAATTAGGAAATAAGCAAACACCTGTACCAATTAGCATGAAAGAAATTATCCCTCACTTACAATGTTCCTGTCACTGCTGTTTGTTGCCACATTCAGGACAGAGGAGCACTGGCTGATATAGACAGGTGTCTTCTCTAAGAGATGTGTCTCTGTGTTCAGAAATGTTTATCCAATCTATGGAGACATGCCTGTGCCCAAACACCCGTACATTTTACATGAATCAATAATTCACAGATACGTGCAATTAAAACCCTTAAAAGCCAATGGATCAAGGGAAAAAGTTATAGTGAAATTATAAAAGACTTTGAAATGAAAAATAGGTCCACAGTGGTAAGGAAAGCTCTCGGGGCTATGTTTTTCTGATAAAAGATGGTCCATTCATCATTTTTAGAATTTACTGAGCCTGGGAGGTGGGGCAGATGTTGCCACGGTGAGGCAGCAGACAGCATAGGAAGAACTCTGGGACTGCAATGCTATTACAGGCCAGCATCTAGCATC